GGAAATAAAGGTATGGCTCAAGTGATAGAGCACCAGCCTTAGCAGAAAAAGCCAAACCAAGAGTGTGAGGCCTGAGTTCAAACCTCAAGAAAAAACAGATTAATAAGAAAACAATCCACTAGATGGGCTGGGAAGTTGGCTTAGTGGTAGAGTGCTTGCCTTGCATGCATGAGGCCCTGGGTTTGATTCCTCAGTACCACATAAACAGAAAAAGCTAGAAGTGGTGCTGTTGTTCAAGTGGTAGAGTGCTAGCCTTGAACTGAAGAGCTGAGGGACAGTGCCCAGGCCCAGAGTTCAGGCCCCACAACTGGCAAAAGAGAGAGAGAGAGGGAGGAAGGAAGGAAGGAAGGAAGGAAGGAAGGAAGGAAGGAAGGAAGGAAGGAAGGAAGGAAGGAAGGAAGGAAGGAAGGAAGGGAAGGAAGAAAGAAAAAATAATCCACTAGAACATTGAGGAAAACACTGTAGACTTAGTAAATTGTAAAAGATGGTGAACTTCATTAAATATCAGCATAAGTAGAAGTTTAATTAAAATCTGACAGCAGATTAGGATACAGAACAAGTGGAACATTTTACATTGGTAGTAGTAGTATAAATTAGTACAACTACACTGAAAACAATTTGCCCTTATCTGGTAAGCTTAAACATGCTTATACCTGGAATTTGTATACATATGCATGAAACACACATGCAAATTCATACTTGCAGCGGCATAGTTAACTAAGCAATGAGTATCAGGAGTAGAATGAGAAAAACAATACTTACTTGATCTCAAATTGGAACACTAAACAGTAAAGAGATGTGTCAGTTACACACAACAACCTGGATAATCCTTAAGAAAATAATGTTAAAACAGGAGGCTATAATGCTGGATAAGAAATGTGCTCATTATCTTACCCACGTAATTGTGACCCCTCTGTACAGTATTTTCACAATAAAAATATATTAAAAGAAATGAATGTTACTCCTTCATTATGATTCCATTTTTATCACAAAAATAGACTGAATAATAACAAAATATATGGGATTAAAATAAAGGGAATGAAAAAGTTCTAAGTTTACTGTGAGAGGGTAAGAAAGAGATCAGCAGGGTAGATGAGTCCAAAGAGAACTTCTAAGTTAAATTGAATGATGGATATCCTTTTTTATAATAAATTTGAAGAACTTTAAAAAAAATTGTGTGATACTAGTGGTTTATGCCAATAATCGTAGCTACTCAGGAGGCTGATCTGAGAATCATGATTCAGTTGAGCCAAGTCTGTGAGACTCTTATTTCCAATTAATCATCAAAAAGCCTGAAGTGAAGCTATTTGGCTAAAATAATAATGTGCTGGCATGGGCTGGGAAGGTGGCTCAGTGGTAGAGTGCTTGCCTTGCATGCCTGAGGCCCTGGGTTGGATTCCTCAGCACCACATAAGCAAAAAGAAAAAAGCCGGAAGTGGCACTGTGGCTCAAGTGGTAGAGTGCTAGCCTTGAGCTGAAGAGCTGAGGAACAGCGCCCAGGCCCAGAGTTCAGGCCCCACAACTGGACCCAAAAAATAATAATAATAATAATGTGCTGGCTTTGAATGAAAGCTAAGTGACAGTACCCAGGCCCTAGTATTGGCATAAGAGGCTTAAGCTCAGAGCCTGGGTGCTGTCCTAAGCTTTTGTGTTCAAGGCTAGCACTACCACTTGAGCCATAACTCACCTTCTGGCTTTTCTTGGTAATTGGAGATAAGAGTCTCACAGATTTTCCTACTCTGTCTGGCTTTGAGCCATGATCCTCAGATCTCAGTTTCCTGAGTAGCAAGGATTACAGGCATGAGCTACCTGTGCCTGGCTGATATTTTTTGTTGTTGTTGTTTGATTGGTTGATTGTTTTTTAATGCTGAAATTATTAGCCTTTCTCAAGGCTTGAATGAGACATGAAATGGTTTTTTGGTGCCATCTCCTGGTTTTAGAGAATGTAACATCATCTAGTCTGTTCTAGCTCTTGGGCTAGATTTTCATCCCAGACTTAGACTTTTTAGTCTAAACCTTTGAATCTATTGCTATATTCTCCAACAAAAGTCTTTTCTTGTTTCCCAATAAACAATAACTGAGATTTCTTTCAAACTTTTCTTTTAGGAGCCTTAGCCCACTGGGATAGTGTTTATCTTCATTATGACTGTTGGGAAGGGAAGGATAGGATGTTTATATGACCATATGAGGTGGTAGTCATTGTTATTTCTGACCTTTCTATACTAAAGACTGCCTTCAAGAGTCTTCATGTCACTATCTCTTTTCTACATCACTTTAGATAGGGATGTACAGGAATTGTTAAATTGTAGAGAAGGGCTGGGCCCTGGTGGCTCACACATGTAATCCTAGCTACTCCGGAAGCTGAGATCCAATTATCATGGTTCAAAGCCAGCTAGGGCAGGAAAGTCTGTTAGCCACCAGAAAACCAGAAGTGGCACTCTGGCTCAAAGTGGTAGAATAACGAGCCTTGAATAAAAGCTCAGGGACAAAGTTCAAGCCCTATAACCAACCAAAAAGAAAAAAGAAATTGTAGAGAAGGGATGGTTTATCCTTCCCTGTGTCAGAATGGAAACCTGTGGAAAACTAGCCTGTGTGAAGGAAGAGAAGGCAAAGTGTGAGTGAATTGGAAAATTCCAGTCTTAAATATGGTTTCTGTTCCAAATAAGAGTTCAGCACCTGGGGGGGGGGGGGGGAGAGAGAGAGAGGAAGGGAGAGAAGGAGGGAGAGAGGGAGGAGAAGGAAGAAGAAGAGAGAGGGAGGAGACTCTTTCCTTCTCTCCCTTATATACTAATAAGCATAAAGTCAAAAGAAAACTGTCCTTAATAAAATACAGACCCTCCAAGGTTTTGAACTCTGGAAGGAAAATCTCTTGAGTAGGTAAAGGCAGATGGACAGTGAGACCCTAATTCCACTTCAAGTGTTTTAATTTAATTTCTCTTACCAATACCATTCTGGTTCTCAAGAAATATATTTGTTCTCTTCTTAAAGCACTGCTTCCAGCTGATAAAAGTAGTTCCCATTGGACTGGCATTTCCTTTATCTAAGAGCCATCTTCGTTCTCTCCCTAACCCATTTCTCTTTCCATTCATCTCTAAATCCAGTAGATTTATAATATACTTCAAATGCATCCATTGTCCTTTTACCATCACCTTTCTGTTTCCACTCCATAATTTAGCTCTTGCCATTCTTGTCTTCTTTTCCAAATAACCAGAGTTGTTCTTTATCATGTAAATCAAATAATATTTTTCAAACATTTGGTGGGATTTTTTTTCACCTACCAAAATCCCTACACAATGGAAATGAATAGTCTGATCTTTTCAAGCTCTTGTCTTCCCACTTCCTGCTATCCTACCAGCCTCTCCTTGTGTGTGTCACACCCACAGACCTTTCAGGTTCTCATACAATAGAGCCTTCTGCTTCTTGGTCATCACAGATTCTGTGACCTAGGCCTAGAATACTAACTTGCACGTTCATCTTCCTAATAGATCCCTCCCCTCGATGTAAATTTGGTTCTTTCTGATACTCCAAGAACATTTTTCTTTTCTTTCATTGCATTTGTCATGATACGTAGTTATATATTTGTTTTAGTTATTTTATGTCTGACTTTGACCCACATTTGCATGAGTGTAAGAACTATGTGCATGTTTGGTTCACCACTGTTAACCTTGTACCTAGTCTTTTATTTGAGATAATGAAAAGTAACACATGAATGCACTTAACTTTTTACCTACTGCCAAATACTGAGGTGGTTCTCATTCTAAATAATGATAAAGTAAATGAGTTGAACATTTTATTTCCTTATAGTCCATTATCAGGAGTGGATTTGCTAGTTCAAAAAGTATGACTTTTTAAAGCCCATAAGACATATTGCCAAATCAGTTACCTAAAAGCTTGTCCAGGCTAGAATTTTAATCTATTTCCCTTTTGTTTTCTAGTTTTGAATATGTGGAAGATCAGAACAGTTCAAATAAAATTTAGCTTCCCACTTTCATCAAACTCACTTATTGAATGCTTATTTTGTGCCCTTTTAATGCTTATTAAGAATATAACATTTACTTATTGAGTGGCAGGTATTGGTTCCATTGTTACAGATGAGAAAGTGTAGGTATAGAAAGTTTTTTAACAGATATATCGCTCAAGTTCACACAACTTGCCTCTCTCTTCTCAAAATATTTCATGCTTCTCCACTTACCTCCCTGTGCCAGCCCAGTTAGATTTACTCTAAAACTGCTACCCACTCAATATCCAGTGCCCCTTCTTCCCAGCTGCGGTACCTGTGTGGCAGTCCCCCTTCCATCCACCAATCCTGCTCCTTGACACATAATGTTCCAGGCTAGGGTGCTCTGCCTCTGTCAGACTCCTAATGAGAATATAAATTGACTATTCAGATCCCTCCTACGTGGTTTTACTCTGAGGGGCAGCACATCTCATCTTCACAATGATTACTATGAGTAAATGGCACCCCAGAAATACTTTTGTTGTTGTTGTTTTGTGTGTGTGTGTGTGTGTGTGTGTGTGTGTGTGTGTGTGTTGCCAGTACTAGGACTTGAACTCAGGAACTCATGCTCTTGGTTGGCTTTTTTGTTCAATGCTTGTGCTCTACCACTTGAGCTCCACTTCCAGCTTTTTGCTGATTATTTGGCCATATGAGTCTCTTAGACTTTTCTGCCAAGGCCAGTTTTGAACCATGATCCTTAGATCTCAGCTTCTTGAGTAGCCAGGATTACTGATAGGAGCCACCAGCACCCAACAGGATTGGGATATCCATTTTAACCTAGCATAGTTCCAAGCCCCTGACCATACAGTAATTATGTAAAGAGCACACATTCTGCTCCTGGAGATTCTTGACTTTAAACTCTGAGGATCTTGAGCTACTGGGGAAAGATACAAAGTGTTTACTTGAATCTGTACCCCACACTGGAAGGTAGGTTTGATGAAGCAGGCTGCATGTTTGTTGTTTATTCCCATTAATAACTCCTGTAATTTTTTTAACCTTTCAGGCTCTTCCTGCTTGTCCAATCCAAGCCACTTGTGAAGCTGCCTCCAAGGAGGAAAACAAGGAAAAAAATCGATATGTAAACATCTTGCCTTGTGAGTGTTTTATAGAATTTCCTGGACTATAACCTCAAATTATACCTGTTGACAGATTTTCTGAAGATGGAAAGAATCTTGCAGTTGGTCACAAGAAACCTGTAGCCAGGTTAGAGTACCCTGGAAATCCCATAGAGACAATTGAGGCAGTTGATCAGGATTTCTGTTGCAGGCCTAAAGTTTCTAGAGTCCAAGGAGGATAACTTCATAGGATACAAGAGGATATGAGTTGTAATGAGGGTAGTTTTTTTGGTTGTTGTTTTTATGTTGGTCGTGGGGCCTGAACTCTGGGCCTGGGCACTGTCCCTCAGCTCTTCAGCTCAAGGCTAGCACTTTACCACTTGATCCACAGCACCACTTATGGCTTTTTCTGCTTATATGTTGCTAGAGGAATCGAACCCAGGGCCTCATGCATGCGAGGCAAGCACTCTACCACTGAGCCACCTTCCCAGCCTGTAGTGCTCATTGGAAGAAATTCCAGTACAGAGTTTTCTTCAAACACTGAGTTAATTTTCCCAGAGTTAGTCACTGCTAATCAGTTGTTCTTATCTAACAGGTATTTGGCTAGGTATTAGGCACATCTCCAGATAGGATGTGCCTAATCCAATGGGGTATGAGAGAAAGATATTTAAACTATTTGGGGGGGAGGGGAGGGAGTCAGTCATTGAGCTTGAACCCAGGGCCTGGCTACTGCCTCTGAGCTCTTCTGCTCAAGGCTAGTATTCCACCACTTTGAGCCACAGCTCTACTTTGGGTTTTCTAGTAGTTAATTGAAGATGAGTCTCACAGGCTTTCCTGCCCTGGCTGGCACAACCCTCACATCTCAGCCTCCTGAGTAGCTAAGACTACAGGCATGGGCCACCAGCATCTGGCTTGAACTTTATTTTTATTGGCTGTTGAAAACTCTTTTTTTTTTTTTTGTCTGTGTGGGGCTTGAACTCTTCTGGGCCTGGACCCTGTCCCTCAGTTCTTCAGCTCAAGGCTAGCACTCTGCCACTTGAGCCACAGCACCACTTCCAGTTTTCTCAGTGGTTTGTTGGAGATAAGAGTCACATGGACTTTCCTGCCCTGGCTGGCTTTGTTTGTTTGTTTTTTGTCAGTCATGGGGCTTGAACTCTGGCCCTGAGCCCTGTCCCTACATTCTTCAGCTCAAGGCTAACGTTCTACCACTTGAGCCATGGTACCACTTCCGGTTTTCTGGTGGATTATTGAAGATAAGAGCTTCACAGCCTTTCCTGCCCAGGCTGGCTTTGAACTGTCATCCTCAGGTCTCAGCCTCCTTAGTAGCTAGGATTACAGGCATGAGCCACCAGCACCTGGCACTTTCTCTGTTTATGTAGTACTGAGGAATCAAACCCAGGGCTTCATGTATGCTAGGCAAGCACTTTACCACTAAGCCACATTCCCAACTTCCAGCTTTTTTGAGTAGATAAGTCTCACAGACTTTCCTGCCTGGACTGGCTTCAAACCACAATCCTCAGACCTCAGCCTCCTGAGTAGCTAGGATTACAGGCATAATTCACTAATGCCAGGTCCTGCTCAAATTTTTATTGGTGAGATATGGGACCACAAAAGTAGAGATTATTCTACTAGGCCCTTCCTATTTGCATACATAGATGAGTGTATATTTATTACATAGTTTTAAATACAGTTGGTATATTGTACACATTGTTCTGCCTTTTTTAACATTATTGTCCATTTGTCTATCAAGAAATATTTTTCTTTTTTTTTCTTTTGTGCCATTACTGGGGCTTGAACTCAGGGCTTGGGCACTGTCTCTTAGCTCTCTTTTTTTGTTGTTTGTTTGTTTTTTGGGTCGGGTCATGGGGCCTGAACTCTGGGCCTGGGCGCTGTCCCTCAGCTCTTCAGCTCAAGGCTAGCGCTCTACCACTTGAGCCACAGCCCCACTTCCAGCTTTTTTCTTTTTGCTTATGTGGTGCTGAGGAATCGAACCCAGGGCCTCATGCATGCAAGGCAAGTGCTCTACCACTGAGCCACCTTCCCAGCCCCTCTCTTACCTCTCTCGTAAAGTCTACCACTTGACTACTTGAGCCACATGACTACTTTTGAGTTTTTTTGGTAATAAATTGGAGATTAGAATCTCTCAGATTTTTCCTAACTAGTCAGGTTTCAAATCAATATCCTCAATCTCAGCCTCCCGAGTAGCTAGAATTATAGGCATTAGCCTGGCAACTGGTAATTTTTCCTTTTTATCAACTATTTAGTATTCTGTACTTTGGATATATTATTCCCTTGTGGTAGAAATGTTTTTCAAATTTTGAGTGTTAAAAACAATATTGGGATGCCAGGCATGGTGGCTCATGCAAGTAATCCTAGCTACTCAGGAGGCTGAGATCTGAGGATCACGGTTCAAAGCCAGCCGGGGCACAAAAGTCTGTGAGACTCTTATTTCCAATAAACCATCAGAAAACCGGAAGTGGTGCTATGGCTCAAGTGGTAGAGTACTCACCTTGAGCTGAAGAGCTGAAGGATAGAATCCAGAGTTCAAGCCCCACAACTGACAAAATATATATATATTGAGGCTAGGAATGTGGCTTAGTAGTAGAGCACTTGCCTAGCATGCATGAAGCCCTGGGTTTGATTCCTCAGTACCGCATACCACATAAACAGGAAAAAAAAAAAAAATTGGCACCGTGGCTCAAGTGGTAGAGTGCTAACCATGGGCAAAAGAAGTTCAGGATCAGTGCCCAGGCCCTGAGTTCATGCCTCATGACTGGTTGTGTGCGTGCATGCGTGTGTGCGTGTGTGTGTGTGTGTGTGTGTGTGTGTGTGTGTGAGAAAACAGATATAATGGTTGTAATCGCAACTACTTAGGAGGTTGCCAGGTACCAGTGGCTCACACCTGTAATTTGGCTACTCAGGAAGCTGAGATCTGAGGATCACAGTTCAAAGCCAGCCTGGACAGAAAGGTCTCTGTGAGACTCTTATCTCCAACTAACTGCTCAAAAAACCAGAGGTGGAGCTATGTGGCTCAGAGTGGTAGAGCACTAGCCTTGAGCAAAAGAGGTCAAGGACAGCACCCAGGCCGAGTTCAAGCCCCACAACCAACAAAAAATAACAAACCTACTACTCAGGAGGTGGAGTTCATAGTTTGAAGCCAGCCCTGGAAAATACTTAGCAAGACTCCATCTCTACCAATAAAGCTGGATTTGGTGGCACACATCTGTCAACATATAAGACATGGTAAATAGGAAGATCATGATGCTAGCCAACCTGGACAAAAACATGAGACTCTAATTCAAAAATAATTAAAGCAGAAGCTGGGAATGTGGTTCAGTGATAGAGTGCTTGCCCTAGCATGCATGAAGCCCCAGGTTCGATTCCTCAGTACCACATATACAGAAAAGGCTAGAAGTGGCACTGTGGCTCAAGTGGTAGAGTGCTAGCTATCAGCCCACAGAGGCTCAGTGACAGAGTCCAAGCCCTGAGTTCAAGTCCCAGGACTGGCAAAAAAAAAAAAAATTAAAGCAGAAAAGGTTAAAAGTATGGTTCAACTGGTAGAGTGCCTAACAAGCATGGAGCCCTGAGTTCAAGCAGAATAAGAAAAAGAAAAAAAGTTTTGGAGTGACTTCTTTATAAACATATGTCTCAGTCCACATAAGTCCAGATGACTTCACTGGCCTAGTTACATCAAGAACAGGAAGAAATCTAATTGTATTTAGTGAAGTATTTTTTTTTTCTTTTTCTTTTTTGCTTATGTGGTGCTGAGGAATCGAACCCATGGCCTCAGGCATGCAAGGCAAGCGCTCTACCACTGAGCCACCTTCCCAGCCCCTTTAGTGAAGTATTAATTGCTGACTTTTTTTCTAGATGACCACTCTAGAGTCCACCTGACACCTGTTGAAGGAGTTCCAGATTCCGATTACATCAATGCTTCATTCATCAATGTAAGGAACCCATGCTTTTCTGTTATCCTTGTGCATGACCTTGACTACCATCTCTTAACTTCCTTCCAAATGTATATTAGGAGGGATATTTGACATCTGAAGTTTCTTCTAAGAAACTTAATTTTTTTTTGGGGGGGGGGAGGGGAAGTTGGTCAGTCGTGGGGCCTGAACTCTGGGCCTGGGCACTGTCCCTGAGCTCTTCAGCTCAAGGCTAGCACTCTATTACTTGAGTCACAGCTCCACCTCTGGCTTTTTCTGGTTAATGTGCCGAGGGATTGAACCCAGGGCCTCATGCATGCAAGGCAAGCACTCTACCACTGAGCCATCTTCCCAGTCCCCCAAACTTAAAAATTTTTTAAGTGACCTGTTTTTTGACAGTCCTGGTGCTTGAACTCAGGGCCTAGGCTCTATCCTTGAGCTTCTTTCTGCTCAAGGCTAGCACTCTATCACTTGAGCCACAGCTCTACTTCCAGCCTTTTCTGTTTATGTGATATCAGCCCAACTAACCTCTTTTTAAAAAACAAAATCAATCATGTAATTTAAAATGAGTCATTTTTGTCATCATTCTCAAAAGCTACCCATATAGAAATCCAAATGGAATCTGAATCTAAATGTTTTTCTCTGAGTTAGTGAACCCTTCACTGAGCTTTTTCAAATAACTTAATAGTAAAATTATACAAAATAATAGTAAAATCAAGGGAGAACAGAACAATATCTGACTCCAAGTCCAGTTAGTCATGTCTAGTATAAACTAAGCCTGCTGGAAGGGAGGTGGTCCCAGCCACTGTGGAGGGATAACAAGCAGAGGGTATGCATGGGTTCTGTAGCTTAGGGAACAAAAAGGTAGGCCAGTTTGACTGGTGACAGAAGGAGGCAAAGCAGAGCCATTACACAATTGGCAAGGAAGCGTCTAGCCTAGTCTTAATATATCCTTAAGAGTTCATCAGTTTTAATTAAAAGCTTAAAACTTAAACAACTCTGCTCTGCTCTTGTTTTGAACTGGAATAGGAAATTACTTCAGACTTAGGTCCCTGCTTTTATTTGGCCACTACCTTAACTGTATTTGACATCATCAGCTTGGCGCAACCTAGTGTCCCATCTGAGCATCCTCTGTCATTGCCTGTGTTAACTGCTATATTGAGAGGGCCAAAGGGTGACCCATGATCCTTAAATCTGGTGACTTCACTGTCCTAAGACTTCTGAAGTAAACACTACATTTAAACAATTAGATTGAGAAGACATTCAGCTTGAACAATAAAGAATGGAAAAGAAAATTACTGTCTGTTAGTTTTTCAAAGGCTTGTAGGAACTCTAGGCTCCTTGGTTTCAAGTTGCCCACCATCTGTAATGGAGAAGTTCATTGTCAACATTGGCTGTCCCCAAAAATGGTCTGCACCTGGTAAAGAATTCTCAAGAAAGCAGTCCTTTGTCCTTCCCACTGTCCTTCCCAGCTTCATCCCTGGAAGTACCTCTGATGTTTCTGTCTTGAAGCTCTTCCCTATTAACATTAAAACCTACATTGTCAAATGCTTATAAAGCATCAAACACATGGTCTAGCCTAGGAGTTGGTATTTGGCTATTCTTACACTAGTATTCACCAGTTCACTTTAAGAAAACTACCTAGACCACTTGAGTTTTTGTAATCTTTGAGTTTTGTTTCCAAAGCTAGCTCTTTGGGAGAGTTCCTGGAATGGAAGCTTTTGTTTACTGCCTGGACTTTTTCACCAGGGAGACTTGTAAACTGGTTGAGAGTCAGACTGCAAATTTCATTCCTACTGACTTTTGGTTTTCACTTTTCTTTTTTATCCCTTTTCCCTTTCCCCAGGGCTACCAAGAAAAGAATAAATTTATTGCTGCACAAGGTAAAGTAATGCTAACATTTTAGGATTAATCATGCTCCTATAGTGGGTTCGGGTTTTTTTTTTTTCCTCAAATACTAAATGGATTAATGAGAATACAGTAAGTTTTCTATAATTATCATCTAAAAGAAATATAATCTGCCTTACAAGTTTACATTGAAGAGAATTTCATCTTCATGATTTAATATCCAAGGCTCTTTGAAAGTACTTGTTTTGTATATGTGTATTTAAAAGACTGCAGAAGCCTATACACACACACACACACACAATCACAATCAGATGAGACCTTCTGGCCTTATCAGTTAACCTTAGATTCTAGCCACACTACTTAGCGTTTCAGTTTGGAATCAGTCTACACAGAGTATCAGCAGCCTCACTGATCCAGATTGGTTATAGGTCTGGAGCCAGCGCCAGTGGCTCATACCTATAACCCTAGCTACTCAGGAGATTGAGATCTGAGGATCAAGGCTCAAAACCAACCCAGGCAGGAAAGTCCATGAGACTCTTATTTCTAGTTAACAACCAGAAAACCAGAAGTGGTTCTGAGACTCAAGTGGTAGAGCACTAGCCTTGAGTGAAAGAGTTCAGGGACAGCGCTCAGGCGCAGAATTCAAGCCCCACAACTGACCAAAAAAAAAAAAAAAAAATCATAGACCTGAACTCCACTATTATTCACAGATAGGTAGTGGAGGGTCCTTCAGAGGAGGGCTCTGTTCCATGACCCTATAAACACTCTGCATCTATTCCCACAACCTGATATTCTTTTCTTTTCTTTTATTTAACTGTATTTTCTTTTTGTCTTTTCTCTTTGGTACTGAGGATCAAACCCAGAACATTGTACTTACTAGGCAAGTGCTTTGCCACTGATCTACATCTCAGCCCCACATATAACCTGACATTCTGGTGAGATGTTTTCAGAGACCCTAGCAAAGATGTTTTGATGTTTTCAGCAGCTGAAGAAATTTCATAATGTTATTGTTCACTGATGCTAATTTATTATTAAATTATTTACCAAATATATATTAACCATCTACTATGGGCCAGGTACTGGACTTAATAATGGAGATATGAAAGGAATAAAACCCTTCTCATCTAATATAGAGGTGATCATGTCTGTCTTTCCTGGTCAATTCTGTTCCCCATCTATGCTTTCCTGGTTTCCTTCCTAGACTTTTTTTTCCAGTCCTGGGACTTGAACACAGGGCCTGGACACTGCCCCTGAGCTTCTTTTGCTTAAGGTTAGCACTCTACCACTAAGCCACATTCTCAGCCCTATTCCTAGGCTTTTTATACCAGCTAAACTTGAATAACACTCAGTATCCTCAGCATTCTTAAACCTTTGATAGGCTTATGTGCCTTCTTCTGTTTGACTGGCTGCTGCCTCTCTTGAACTCCTGAGCCACATTTTCAGACCATTTTGTGTACCTCTATCTGGATAATACAAGACTGTTTAGATTGAGTATCAGAAACTAAGGTAAAACTTACTTAGCTCCAAAACATTTTATCTTATATTATTTGGCTACTAGGAAGACTATAATGTAGCCACCTAATTAGCAAACCAGATTCAGTAGTATGCGTTCTTGTTCCCTTTTCTTCCAGCACCATGCAATAGTCTGCTGACTTGTGCCTTTGTGCCTCAGCTTTGCACTCTTCATTCCTACTGGCTTTTCTCAAAGCAAAACTTTAGTCAGGGCTTTCCTGAAAATCTTGTAAGTATTTACCCTTCTTGCTAGGAGCATCCTTGCTTAGCCCAGCCTCTACCCTGTTGGAGGCTGGTACCTCTACTCCTTTCAATTATGGAATCTTTCTGCTTTATCTTCTACCACTGCCTGCAGTCTATACTGACCTTGAGGAACTCCTTACAGGCCCTAGACATGTCCTTTTTCTTGGTGCTATTCCCCCACTGCCCCATGTTCTGCCTCTCCTCTCTCTTGCTCCCTTCTAAGCTCCCATCCACTTGAGACCCATGATACCTTCCAAATACCACCTTCTCCAGAACATGGTCCTCATGCCTGAAATGTGTATTTGGGCCCTATAAATATTTCTGATATATTCCTTTTTCTTTCTTTCTTTTTTTTTTGTCACTCGTGGGGCCTGAACTCTGGGCCTGTGCACTGTCCCTCAGCTCTTCAGCTGTAGACTAGCGTTCTACCACTTGAGCCTCAGCCCCACTTCCAGCTTTTTCTGCTTATGTAGTGCTGAGGAATCGAACCAAGGGCCTCATGCACGCAAGACAAGCACTCTACCACTGAGCCACCTTCCCAGTCCCTCCTTTTTCATTATTGTTTTTCTTTCATGTTTTTCTTCTCATATGGAGCATTTCACAAATATGCAAGTTCTCATTACTTGGGGACCACGCTAATCTTTGTATTGTTCCAGTTTAAGTTATGAGCACTGTCTTTCTAAGACTTTTATTTGGAGATGGGAATATAGTTCAGTAGAAGAGCACTTATAATATCCTGTACTGAAAAATACCTAGCACCAATTTTTTAAATGGTTTTACTTTTACCAAAGGGAATAATTAGAGGAATAAATGATGAAAAGCATCAAAAGAGCCAAAAGTTAGAATATCACATGAACATGTCAAGGAAACCAGGCCCATGGCTCACACCTGTAATCCTAGCCACTCAGGAGGCTGAGATCTGAGGATCACAGTTCAAAGCCAGCCAGGGCAGGAAAGTCAGAGAAACTCTTATCTCCAATAAACCACTCAGAAAACCGGAAGTGGTGCTGTGGCTCAAGTGGTGAGAAAACTAGCCTTAGCTGAAAAGCTCAGGGATAGCACCCAGGCCCAGAGTTCAAGCCTCATAATCTACAAAAAGAAAAAAGTGTCAGAGACCTCCCAGTAGAATTCAGTCTCAACTCTGAGTTCAGATAGTATTTGCTATTTCTATCATCACAAGTATATCAATATTACAGTGTAGCACAGAAAACAGTGATGTTTTATATAGTTTTTCCTCTTTTTCAGGAGTTAATGGTGCCTTGCTTTCCTAGTCACTTAATTTTCTTTTTAATAGACCACTAGACTGTCTCCTTAACTCGCTAGTAGATAATATCTTCTCTAAGCACTTTATATATATAAAGTTTAATTTTTTTCAAGTTTAATTTTTTTTCTTAGAATCTTTTAGGACTTTTTGTCTTCAGTTCCACAATTGATCTATTGCCCTCTATCCTGGCAAACTTAACTAAGACTTCCCTTTACCAACACTCTGGTCATTCCATTAGCATTTCTATTATTAGTGCCCATTTCTTTCTCTTTGTATGCTGCATTATTTTTGAAGCTTCCAGAAAAAGATTATATGGCAAATTTTTAATCTAGCCTGAAAAGATCGCTCAATCTTTCTGGAACTGATGATACCCATCTTGGTGTGAAGGAAAAAGCAAATGCCATAATATGCACTTAACTTGTCTGGACTCATAGTGTAGATATTCATTCTCAGTTATCTTATCCATGGAGACTACTGTGTTCTGTTCTTTTTTGGCAGCCTTCTTAACCCACAACCCTAGCGAAATGTTTGGCACATACGTGATGGATACAAAAGAAAAGTTTAGTTAGTAGGTGAATGGAAGGATAGGTAGGTTGGATATTCCACTGAGAACATGTGGACACAGGGTTCCAAAAGTCGAGAATAGGTATTCCCAATTTCCTAGCAGCTATCTTGCATTTAATGTGTGTTCTCATCTTTGCTATTGGCTTCTTTAGGACCAAAGGAAGAAACAGTGAATGATTTCTGGAGGATGATCTGGGAACAAAATACAGCCACCATTGTTATGGTGACCAACCTGAAGGAGAGAAAGGAGGTAAGTGGAGAAATTAGATACAAGTTGCAAGTCTTGTGGTATAGATGTAGCCAACGGGGTGTGCCCCGCTGTAGCTCTGAGTTTGAACATGGCTTTTTGTGGCTGTTGTGCCAATAGATCATACCGACAGAAAAAGGCTAATAAGTCTGTCAGACTTTTCTATGGCCTGGAAGTCTCAGAGTTCTCTAGATGCCATTCTCAGAGCAAGTTAACTTGCTCTGATTCTAAAACAACTGGGAAGACTTGAGCCACTAGCCAAGGAAAAGTTTTGCTCACCTGGTTTCTCTAGTTCCTTGAGGCCTTGAGTATATCCTTAGCAGGAAGAATTTTATGGGACTGAGACCCTACAAGAGTACAAGAGAATCTGAGGATTGACCCTGACCCTGCAGGCTTTGACTGCTCCTTTTTCTTTTGTGTCTGTTAAATCTATTCCTGGCCTGGCCAGCTCTGTCACTGAGCCACAGCCGTAACTAGTGCCAGTCTGATGAGTCCTGGATCAACCCCCAGTGAGGAATCCCGTTCATAACAGTCTTAAGGATGGCTATTTTCCCTCAACCTGACCCCTGGCTCTTAGAAGCTGTCTAAGGCCTAGATAACAGAAGGGCTTATGTTTATAGTCTGTAATAACCCATCATGGTAGTCTCCTCATAGTATGCTACTGGTCTCAGGCATTCAGACAGGCTTACCCAAGAGACTGCACTGAGATATTATAAGTAAAATGGGTGTCAGAATGTATGTCTGTTTTTTTCCAGTGTAAATGCGCCCAGTACTGGCCAGACCAAGGCTGTTGGACCTATGGGAATATTCGTGTGTCTGTAGAAGATGTCACTGTCCTGGTAGACTATACAGTACGAAAGTTCTGCATTCAGCAGGTACTGACTGCTTCCTCCCTCTCCTGGTTCTTGTTTAAGATCTGCTGACCAGTAAAGAATGGGAATAGCCAGGTCATCCCCAGTCTTGATCTAGGTGCTCAGGAATTGCTAAGTGTGCCATGTATTTGCAACTTCTCTGTTAAAGCTAAGGGAGCAACAGTGTCATGATTTGGAAGAAAAATACATGTGGAGTTTGATTACCCTTATATATGCAGGCCATATAAACAGGGAACATTGGAGTGTAGGGCAGATTCCTGAGTGCTGGGCTCCCCTCTCTTTTCCTGCTTTGAAGGCTCCTAAGAGCAAAGATATAGTGGACCTGGTCTGAAGCCTTTGCACAAAGGAGCTGTGGAAAGGAGACTTACCAAGAGTTGAAGTCCTGAATTTTAGCTCTGGCCTACCATTTATTAGTTCTGGGGCCTGAATGGGTCATTTAAGTTCTCTGACTTTGACCTTTATCTGGCTGAGTATAATAGTAATAGCTGTACCTAACTCATGCAATTACCAAAAAGAGCTTCTGTCCATTATCAAAACTTGTTCATTTTATTGTATCCTCCCTCTGCTGTCCATCCCTGGGTAACAGGGTAAATATGCATCTCCTCACTTCACAGGTAGGCGACATGACCAACAGAAAACCACAACGCCTCATCACTCAGTTCCACTTTACCAGCTGGCCAGATTTTGGGGTTCCTTTCACCCCAATTGGCATGCTCAAGTTCCTCAAGAAGGTGAAGGCCTGTAACCCTCAGTATGCAGGGGCCATCGTGGTTCACTGCAGGTTAGTGTAGTTTGACCCTGAGCTCCCACTTTCTGCCCCCTTGGCCAAAGCAGGGGAACATCACAGGGCTTCTTAAAGCAGATGCATGATTGAGCCCCAGGGCAGTAGACCCAGAGATTCTGAAGTTCTCTTGTAGAATGAAGTGTATGACTTGAGGAAAGCGAAGAAAAGACAGTCCTCCAAGGCCAGGAGGGCAGAAGCTTGCTATAAAGCCAAGTGGCTACATTGAGTGCTGGCCAAGTATTCTTGCTTCCTTCAGAATACCCAGTCCTGATAGAGGTCAGGAGTGCCCAAAAGATTGGAGTTGTTGGTTCCAGACCACTCATTCTGCTGCATTTGCAATTAGAGTAAAACCCTGGAAAAAGAGTCCAAGCATGTGGTGCCCTTTGCTGTCCACTGTCACAAGTCATACTGGCCGTTACATAACCCTTCACTCTTTGGCTACAGTGCAGGTGTAGGGCGCACAGGTACCTTTGTTGTCATTGATGCCATGCTGGACATGATGCACACAGAGCGGAAGGTGGATGTCTATGGTTTTGTGAGTCGAATTAGAGCCCAGCGCTGCCAGATGGTGCAAACAGACGTAAGTGGTCTTGGGATGAGAGGGGACAAAAGGTGGCATTCCAATACCAAACAAACATCTGCTCACCTCTAGGCCATTTAAGTTCTCTGACTTTCACTTTTATCTGGCTGAGTATAATAATAACAGCCATGCCTAACTCTGTCTGAGATCAAAAGTTTCCCCATTACCACTGACGGTTTCCTAGGCTGTTGTAAATTATCAGGATCCGATGTGATTAAGGACCCTTATAAAATATATATTTAAATGACGCACAGAGCAGGTTGTGACTTCATGACTGTGGGAGTCAGGAAAGCAGCTGTCAATTCCACCAGACTTAATGATAAGGAAACAATCCCTGAGGAAAGCAAGTGTACCAAAGCCTACCTCCACAAGCAGAAGTGAGATGACTCTGTGCTGTGGTCAGGGCACAGTACAGGGAGGTTGGCTGCCTGGAGGCTAGGACCTCACAGTCTTTGTACATCTTCAGCTTCTGACAGCCCCTGCAAACCTACAATCTATCAGCACCCCTGAGACAGACCAAGAGCCTACCTTCCAAGTTAAGCAAACCTCTAGACGAATGCATACATTTCAAGTCCTTCACTGTGTTGGGCAATTAGAATGAATTATTTTATTCCTTTTGGGACCAAAGAAGTAGTTGTCAAAATGAAAGGGGGTGGAGGGGTGATCTGGTGCCAACAAGGACTGTTACATCTACCTGAGAACTTCATCTCATCCATGTTTCAGATGCAATATGTTTTCATATACCAAGCCCTACTAGAGCATTATCTCTATGGGGATACAGAACTGGAAGTGACCTCTCTAGAAACCCACCTGCAGAAAATTTACAACAAAATCCCTGGGACCAGCAACAATGGATTAGAAGAGGAGTTTAAGGTGAGTTGGAGCTTGACAACCTCTTCAATCTGTAGAATGTGGATTGGGCAAAATGCAAGGCTAATGAAGTAATAAACCTATGTCATGCTCCCATCCATAAGAAGTGCTCCCAGAAGCAAGGGAGTGTAGTTGGGGGTGATGAGAACCATCTGGTTAAAGCAGTCCTTCTTACATTGTGATTATATACACATTCAAGTTCTGATTCAGCGGGCCAACACTGCTGATGTATGGGTTACCTTGAAAAGCAAGCATTAAGAAGTAACCTCAGGGCTGGGAAGGTGGCTCAGTGGTAGAGCGCTTGCCTTGTATGCATGAGGCCCTGGGTTCGATTCCTCAGTACCACATAAGCAAAAAGAAAAAAGCCAGAAGTGGCCCTGTGGCTCAAGTGGTAGAGCGCTAGCCTTGAGCTGAAGAGCTGAGGGACAGCGCCCAGGCCCAGAGTTCAGGCCCCACGATGGGACCAAAAAAAAAAAGAAGTAACCTCAGAGCCGAGTTGCTGGTGGCTCATGCCTGTAATCCTAGCTACTCAGGAGGCTGAGATATGACGATCTCGGTTCAAAGCCAGCCCAGGCAGGAAAGGCTGTGAAACTCTTTATCTCCAGTAAACCACCAGAAAACCAAAGTGGAGTTGTAGCTCAAGTGGTAGAGTGCTAGCCTTGAGCTGAAGAGCTGAGGGACAGCCCTTAGGCCCAGAGTTCAAGCCCCAGACCGACAACAACAACAAAAAAAGAAGTAACCTCAGAGTCATCTCTGGTGGCTCACACCTGTAATCCTAGCTACTCAGAATGCTGAGATCTGAGGATCGTGGTTTCAGAGCCAGCCTGGGCAAGAACATCTGTGAGACTCATCTCCAATAAGCCACTAGAAAACCAGAAGTGGCGCTGTGGCTCAAGTGGTAGAATACTAGCCTTGTGCTGAAGAGCTGAGGGACAGTACCCAGCCCCACAACCAACAAAAACAACAAAAAGAAGCAGTAACCTCAGCCAAGCACTGGTGACTCACCATAATCCTAGCTACTCAGGAGGTTGAGATCTGAGGATTGTGGTTCAAAGCTAGTTGGGGCAAGAAAATCCATGACTCTTATCTCCAATAAACTACTCAAGGAAAAAAAAACAGAAGTAGCACTGTGGCTCAAGTGGTAGAGCCACTACCCTTGAGCACAAAGAGGCTGAGGTACAGCACCCAGGCCGAGTTCAAACCCCAGGACCAGCAGGGGAAAAAAAGAAGAAGTAACCTCAGAGTCAGGAATTTGAATGTTTTTTTCTAAAAAGTGTAAGACCATCTCTGTCATCAGTAGAACAATAAAATGAATGGTAGATGGGCACAGTCCTTGAGATGGGAATGAAGCTTAGTGGTAGTATGCTTGCCTAGCATGCATGAAGCCCTGAGTTCAATTCCTTAGTACCACATGAACAGAAAAAGCCAGAAGTGGTACTGCTGCTCAAGTGGTAGAGTGCTAGCCTTGAGCAAAAGAAGCTCAGGGACAATGCCTAGGCCCTGAGTTTAAGCCCCAGGACTGGCCCCCCCCCCACCCCCCCCCCCCCACCGCCAAAAAAAAAAAGAAAAAGGTGGGCACAGCTCTTCTTTTTTTCTTTTCTTTTTTTTTTTTCTCCCAGTCCTGGGGCTTGAAGCCTAGGTCTGGGTGCTGTCCCTGAGCTTTTGTGCTCAAGGCTAATGCTCTACCACATGAGCCACTGTTCTACTTCTAGCCTTTCATGGTTAATTGGAGATGAGAATCTCATGGAAAGAAGTGGCGCTGTGGCTCAAGCAGTAGAGCGCTCACCTTGTGCTGAAGAGCGCAGGGACAGCGCCCAAGCCCAGAGTTCAAGCCCCATGACCAACCAAAAAAAAAAAAAAAAGGAATCTCATGGACTCTCCTGCCTGAGCTTACTTTGAACCCCAATCCTCAGATTTCAGCCTTCTGAGTAGCTAGGATTGCAGATAGGAGCCACCAGCTCCTGCCTCATAGCTCCTCTTTTTTTTTTTTTTTTTTTGGGGGGGGGGGGGTGGTCCAGTCGTGGGGCTTGAACTCTGGGCCTGGGCGCTGTCCCTCAGCTCTTCAGCTCAAGGCTAGCACTCTACCACTTGAGCCACAGCGCCACTTCCAGCTTTTTTCTTTTTGCTTATGTGACACTGAGCCACCTTCCCAGCCCCTCATAGCTCCTCTTTTGTACTGAGATCCTTGCCACAGGGTCATAAAACTCAAGGCCTGAAGAGTTCCAGAGGGTCCACAGAAACCTGAAAGGCAGTATTTTCCCAAAATTCTCTTGACTTTTTACTGAGCTTTTTTTTTTTTTTTAATATTTATTTTTTGTCAGTCGTGGGGCTTGAACTCTGGGCCCTAGCGCTGTCCCTCAGCTCTTCAGCTAAAGGCTAGCACTTTACCACTTGAGCTACAACACCATTTTGGGTTTTCTGGTGGTTTATTGGAGATAAAAATTTCACGGACTTTCCTTCCCGGGCTGGCTTTGAACCACGATCCTCAGATCTCAGCCTCCTGAGTGACTAGGATTACAGGCGTGAGCCACAGGCACCCGGCCTTTACTAAGCTTAAAGACAGAAGAAACAGTATTCTGACAATATGTAGAAATGGAAGTCAGGGCTAGGCAAAGAAGAGCAGCATGAGGTAGCTTAGAAGTGTTGTCGAACATGGTCCTCTCAGGATGTTCCTGGGATCAGCAATGTCTCCCCTCCCCTTCCTCATTCAGAAGTTAACATCAATCAAAATCCAGAATGACAAGATGCGTACTGGAAACCTTCCAGCCAATATGAAGAAAAACCGTGTTTTACAGATCATTCCATGTAAGAGCCCTCTCCTGAGCCTTATTGTCCCACCCATCAATTCCCTTCACCCATTCTACTTTCCAGATACTATTTAATAGTTGATTTAGAATCATAGTATTGCCTCTTGAGACTCTTGCTTTTTAGTGGCTTTTGTAAATAAAAAACCATAAAAGCCAAAGACTTTCTGTCCTCTTGGCTGGCATGTCCTTGCATAGCCAGGATTATATCTCCCTAGGGTTTAAGTAAAAGCAGAAAGCAGAAGAAAGAAAAAGGTTGGGGGGAGGGGGGAAGAGACAGAGAGGGAAGGAGAGAGAGATGTTGGTGAGTGGTAAGCCATTGTTCTTCCAGATGAATTCAACAGAGTGATCATTCCAGTTAAGCGGGGCGAGGAAAACACAGACTACGTGAATGCATCCTTCATTGATGTAAGTGATGGGATTCCCTAGGGCTTGCAGTGCCTCATATACCATCTTGCAAGGATCATCTTTGAGATCAGGCAACATTTACTGAATTTATACCTGCCCACCTACCCTGAGCACTAGGCCTGTCCAGGCCCAAAGAGGAGAAGGTAGAGGAAACAGGGTGTATACCTGTGTGATTCCTAGAGGAGAAGCTCAAAACAGCCACAGCCAAGAAAGATGAAAAACCTGATCTTTCCCATTCCTACTCTTCTCATCCTAACTCTAGCAACTGCTTCCCTTCCCCAAGGTTTGATCCTTGACCAAAGGGGAACTCTACCTGGGATATCGTACTTCCAAGGAGCCCCCATATATTCCTAGGGCCCTGTCTCACTGCCTCTTAGTAGGCCCATCTTTTCCACTCACTCTCCTGATTAAACCACCTTACCTCTGTGATTGATTTGGCCTGTATAGGGCTACCGGCAGAAGGACTCCTACATTGCCAGCCAGGGCCCTCTTCTACACACAATTGAGGACTTCTGGCGAATGATCTGGGAGTGGAAGTCCTGTTCCATCGTGATGTTAACAGAACTGGAAGAGAGAGGCCAGGTGAGTTCAGACAGAGCTTTTTGAGCTTCTAGAGAAAGAATGAAAAGGAGAAGGAGGAGAACTAGATCTTTTCTTTTGATTTACACTATGCTGGTCTATTATCCAACCAGTTAGTGCCTGAGAAGTCATCAGCTTCTCCCAGGAGTAGACAGCTAAGAGTAACCTGAGCTCCTACTCAATTCCAGACAGAGCCTACCCTTTCAGTTTCTCCTACCTCTAGACTTCTTTCTTTGCACATATCCTCTCTACCCACTTTGCAGCCCACAAGATGAGAGGCAAGGTACACAGCCACATCAGGGTTCTGGAGTGGAATGGGCTGAGTGTCCCTAAGATGAGGCCATTTCTCTGCTGGCTGCACAAACAAAATAGTAGAATCTAGAAATAACAAAAGCAAGAAATGTGCAACTTCAGTATCAAGCCTGCGACGTGTATATTTTTGTTGGCTGAGCAGGTTATTTGAAAGAGATGAAACAAGTGGAGCATGATGAAGCATGTCCAACTGTGCTACACAGCTTAAGAAAATTCTTTAAAGAAAGCCCTCAAATTTACTAACGAGTGGTATCATCTGGGGTTTCAAACTATAAAGAGACCTCAAATCTCTCAACTCCACTCAGCATAAACAAATACGTCACTGCCAGGCACCGGTGGCTCACACCTGTAATCCTAGCTACTAAGGAGGCTGAGATCTGAAATCGAGGTTCAAAGCCAGCCCAGGCAGGAAAGCCCATGAGATTCTTATCTCCAATTAACCACCAGAAAACCAGAAGTGGCTGTGGTTCAAGTGGTAGAGCACTTGGCCTTGAGCTGAAGAGCTCAGGGACAGCGCCCAGACCCACAGTTCAAGTCCCACAACTGACCACAAAAAATCTGTCACTAATCTGAGCCAGTCTTTATGGAACATTTTCTGTTACATGGAACCCCCTCCCTTCCTGCAGTGGCTGCAGTAAATGGGTGGTATGTTATGCCTGGAGCATCATCTAACCGAGATCATAATCAATATGATGAGCCTGGACAAAGTAGCAAAGTCTAGTGAGAAAATTCTTTCTAAACTTCCATGAAGAGTTGGGACTTTTTAAGTCATTTAAAAAATTATTAACCGAGCTGGGCGCTGGTGGCTCACGCCTGTAATCCTAGCTACTCAGGAGGCTGAGATCTGAGGATCGAGGTTCAAAGCTAGCCCGGGCAGGAGAGACCGTGAGACTCCTATCTCCAATAACCACCAGAAAAACCAGAAGTGGCGCTGTAGCTCAAGTGGTAGAGCGTTTGCCTTGAGCTGAAGAGCTGAGGGACAGCGCCCAGGCCCAGAGTTCAAGCCCCACGGCCAACGGAAAAAAAAAAAAAAAAGTTATTAACCAACCTAACTTGCATTTTTTTTAAATCTCTCTGGTAACATAAGGAGAACAAATGATAAATTAGCAAGCTAGAAGCCAAGAGGAACTATGGTAGGGCTGGTGCAAAGACTATCCTAAAGAGGATAGAGGGGTTGGTGAGATGGACATAACAAGGAAGAGTTAGGCATGTACCTTCTCATGACTCCCTGAGTTTGTAATCAATTAAAAATTAAACACACTAGGGTTGGGAAGGTGGCTCAGTGGTAGAGCGCTTGCCTTGTATGCATGAGGCCCTGGGTTCAATTCCTCAGCACCACATAAGCAAACAGAAAAAAGCTGGAAGTGGCACTGTGGCTCAAGTGGTAGAGCGCTAGCCTTGAGCTGAAGAGCTGAGGGATAGCACCTAGGCCCAGAGTTCAGGCCCCACGACCAGACCCAAGAAAATAAAAATTAAACACACTAAATAGGTTGTTTCAACTACTAATTGTTCCTCGTTCCATGTGTATGCCACTTACTTAGTTTAATAACAAGGTTTTGCACATTTTTGCTAACCCTGACATTTTATCATATCAAGATATTTTTCCCATTATAACCACTCATTGAATTCTATAACTAGTCTTCCCAGACATATATAATGTACCTAATCAGCTGATATCCTACATAGGTTGTCATCAGTCATCAGTAGCAACACTGATATAGTCAGAGGCTTGGGTTAAGGTCCTCGGTTTTGCAGTTATGGAAACAGACACCTGAGTAGTAAAGACCAGCTGAGACTGAGCTGCTGTGTTATCAGGACCTAGGTGCATGTCTGGTAGCACTCTCTAAGTCCTGAAATGCAGGTGACACGAGGGTCTTACATGCATCTCCACTATATCTCTTCCCCAGATACAGGATGAGAAGGCCCAGACCCAAAACTATTTAGGCAGATAATCAGACTACCATCCTTGAAGAGAACTTAGTGTGACCAAAGAGCAGGAGAGACTTTTACCTCCAATTAACCAGAAAAAAGGTAAAAGTAGAGATGTGGCCCAAGAGGTAGAATGCTAGCCATGAGCAAAAATGCCGAGCTAGAGTGCAAGGCTCTGAATTCAAGTCAAATACCTTTCTTTTTCTACTTATTTTTTTCCAAGTTTTTCCCATTCAACACAAGTACATACATAGTTGAGAAATTTTTAATTGTTTATAGTAAAGAATCTCAGATCCTCCCCCAAAATGCTGTAAAGAAATAGACTATATATAGGGCTGGGAAGGTGGCTCAGTGGTACATATGTGTTTGCCTTTTATGTATGAGGCCCTGGATTCGATTCCTCAGCATCACATAAACAGAAAAAGCTGGAAGTGACGCTGTGGCTCAAGTGATAGAGTGCTAGCTTTAAGCTGAAGGGCTGAGGGACAGCACCCAGGCTCAGAGTTCAAGCCCCACAACCGACAAAAGAGAGAGAGAGAGAGACTATATAATTATTTTGTTTTATCTAAATACTTACACCTTGACTTGTTCTTTAGACATTGAATAAATTCATTTACCAGATACTTACAAAAGAGCCTACCATGTGCCAGGCATTGAACAAGGTGTTGAGAATACAGATAAATAGATAGTCTGTCCCTACAGGGGACCATAGAGGGACTTCAGATAGGTGCAAGCAAAGACAGACTAGACTGTAAGCCATCTCTTGCCCACTAACAAGAAACCCAGGGGCCCACAACCCTCAGGTACCCTTGCAGATTGAAGGGATCAAGATGAGGAGGATAAGGCTGTCTTCAAGCACCCTGGCTCAGTGGGAGTGTAAATGGGCTTAGGGTTTCTGAAGCAGGAGATTGATATGTAATTAGGTTCAGGGTATGGAAACACCCCTTAGGAGAGTAGGGAGACAGAAGTTGGAACAAATATGTTCACTTTTCTATTTCTGATATCTCCAATTAATTCAAGTTGGAAGTTAATTAGAATAATGTGCAGTGATATGGTAATCCACCAAGTTTTCAGTGCCTTGAGGATTCAGTGTGTCAGAAGAGGTAACTGTGCTGAGAGGGACTAGGAGGCCTGTAAACAGTGCTGCTCTGCCACATACAGTGTTGTAGTCCCTCACTTCTCCCATTCATCCCTCCAGGAGAAGTGTGCCCAGTACTGGCCATCTGATGGCCTGGTGTCCTACGGAGACATCACAGTGGAGCTGAAGAAGGAGGAAGAATGTGAGAGCTACACTGTCCGGGACCTCCTGGTCACCAACACCAGGGTAAGATTAGTGGTAAGTGGGAATCCTCCTGCAGGGAAATCAGAGCTGTCCCTCTTCCCTGATCTGATGATTCCTTTTCCTCCAAAGGAGAACAAGAGCCGGCAGATCCGACAGTTCCACTTTCATGGCTGGCCTGAAGTGGGCATCCCCAGTGATGGGAAGGGCATGATCAGCATCATCGCAGCCGTGCAGAAGCAGCAGCAACAGTCGGGAAACCATCCCATCACCGTGCACTGCAGGTACTGCTCGCCTCAGGTGGGGGCAGAGGGAAAACAAGGAAAGGCAGGCAGAAGGAGCATTAATGAGTGAGTGTCAACCTAAGGAAGCCTCACATTGTGAGATGTGATCAGAGATCTGAGAGTTTGAATGTGGTCTAAGATAGTGGACTGGAAGTCAGCCTAATGGTACACACCTATAATCTCAGCTTAGGAGGCAAAGGGGTAGGAGAAACAGGAATTAGAGGCCAGCCTAACCAAAGTTAGGCTGTTAGCTCAGGCAGTAGAGTGCTTGCTAGGAGGCCCTGGATTCAATCCCTAATACCAAGAGGAAAAATGGGCAGGGAAGTGTGTGTCAGCAATGGAGAGAATCAAGGGAAACCAACATCTGAGAGACCCATGGGTAGTACAGGGTCGGGGCATGGTCTTCTTAAGCCTGGAGAAAGGGGAAAGAGCAAGTATTTTTTAAATGGTTTGAGGAAAAGTGAACAAAACTAAGAGCATAAAGTAAAAATGAAGAAAACTTAAGAATTCTCCAGGTATGAGCCAGAGTTACTGGTCACAGATGATGTGACCAACAATGGACAGTAAGTTTTGTTTGGGGGAGAAGGCCAGTTTTGTTTGGGTGAATGTGAATTTTATTTGAGATTACATTATTGAACAAAAAAAGAGGCTGGAGTTGTAACTGAAATAGTAGAGTTCAGACTCCAGTACATCCAACCCTTCCCTCTACCCCCACCAAACAAAAACAACTATGCCCTGAGTTTTCCTTAATAGTAATAGTTGAGGTTATCTAAAGATTGTGCATTCTGATTTTCCAGTTCCTCTTCTTTCATCCTCTCTCAAGTCTATTCCAACACACACACACACACACACACACACACACACACACACGCACGCACGCACACACATGCACGCACGCATGCCCCATCAGGACTACTCATGGCCTCCAGGTTGCGGAAGCCAGTGATCACTCCAGCCTTGTTATAGTTGACCTTTCATTGGCACTGCACCGTCAGTCACTCATCTCCCTGGAGCTCTAGTGTGGCTTTTCTAGTTTTCAGCCTCATGAGCTATTTCTTCTCTGTATCCTATGCTGTTCCCATTCTTCCTGTGACCAAGACCCCCTCCTTGAACTTCAGGTCAACAGACCATTCCCTTATGTTATTCACCAAGTCCCCTGGGCTTTTATACCAATTTCCAAGTCTTCATCATCATTCAGCCTCCCCACCCCAAAATCCAAACTTAGGTTTCCCATACTCAGCATTCTCATGCTATGTCTGATACTTAAGGTTCTAATCAGAACTACTATTTCTTCTCAAGCCTTCCCTAAATCAATAAGTAACAGATATATTTTCATTGCTACTTAACTCCCATGAGAAGCCTTGGAACTGGCCTGTTTTCCCTTTCTCACATCACATCTAACCCATTGCACATGATGTCATCTCAAAATCTGGTCTTCTTTACTATTCTCCCTCCACCTATCCTCTCCATGTCCTCAATACAGCAGCCTTGAGAGCTTTTTCAATGTAAGTCAAACCACACCACTTTTGTACATAGATCCCAGTGTGATCTGAGGGTTCCCTATTGGACCAGGCAGCAGGGTACATTCTGGGCTGGTATTCTCCTGGGGCTCTGACCCCACCCCACCTATCCCTCTTACATCATATATAACCACATTACCTCACCACCGTTGGCCCAAGAGGCTTGTTCCAAGGCAGCTATGGTGCTTCATCCCTACCTTGTCCACATCTGCACTCACATGGCACTCTTTCAGCAAGCCTTCCCCAAGCACCCTGCTTGGGACTCCACTCCTCCTTCTCCCCTTACTGTACATCTTCTTGTCCGGGAGTCTGCTAAGCCTTACCCTGCCAAAGAGCAGACATTGCCTCTCTGGTGAGAAAATCAACCTGTGACATTGGATGGGGTAGATAGTGTCAAAGCCAGGGTTTGGTTTACCCAGACTTAAAAAGAAGATGACAGTTTGCCTTGTGAAGGTTAAAATGTGTATGTGACTTAACTAAGTATCACTGTCCTACAATACTGTGAAATCTGTGAAATTTATGTAATCACTTAATCTCAATAAAAAATTATTTAAAAAAGAAGAAACACATGGAAAAGGAGCTGCGACACACACCAGTGAAGAAATGTTTATAAGGGAAAGGGAAGAAAGGACTTGAATTCTAACCTGGGCCAGCAGTGAGCAGCTCCGAGCTTTGTCGGTCGATAGTGCTGATGGGACGGGAGGAAGGTTGTCAGCACAATCCCATAGGTAAATACGAAGCAGGCACAGGAAAAGGCAGCAGGGGTACATGCCACCCCAAAACCATGCTGTCACAGGGCCCCTCTAGGCTAGAAGGCAGAGATGAGCATGGGCGCTTGCCCCACCTGCCCTCTTCCCTAGTAGTTTCAGAGATCACTCACCTTCCTAGCACTAGTCAGCCTTCCTGTGCTTCTCACTGCATTCATCCCTCAGCACAGAGGGCTGGTAAGTACATCTGTCTGTTTCAGCGCCGGGGCAGGACGGACGGGGACCTTCTGTGCTCTGAGCACAGTCCTGGAGCGTGTGAAAGCAGAGGGGATTCTGGATGTCTTCCAGACTGTCAAGAGCCTGCGACTGCAAAGGCCACACATGGTCCAGACACTGGTATGCCAGTCCATGCCACTACACCAGCTGCAACCCTTCCCTCTCAGTGAGGAGCCCTTCAGAGGCCACCCAACAGACTAGCCACGGGCCCACTATTCCCCAAAGTGCCCCAAGAGGCAAGAAGTGCCTTGAGAGAGGCAGGATCACAGTTGGAGCATAGCCTCTGTCCTGAGAGAGGTGTATGGGAGGCTAGAAGGGGTCCCTGGGTGCCCCACAGGGCTTGCCTATGCTTTCCCTCATTTCAAGGAGGGGCGGAGAGAACAGGACACAAGAGTATGTATCTTTGCCTTTGCTCTGGGCTCCCCATCACGAGATCTGACTTTTGATAGTCTGGCCATCCATAAAAGTTTTCGCGAGTCCTGTGGAGCTAGAAATGTTTGAGGGGAAAATGAAAGGTGATTCTGAGGAGTTCTAGAGGAGATGCCACTTTGAGAGCCAGGGCACATCATCAGCCCAGCACACTCATGTCTGACCCTGTAGGGCCTACCACCGACCTCATCACTGTGCCCAGCTCTGCAGTCAGCCCAGAAGGCAGAGCTTCCAAAACTCTGGCTAACGGGTCAGCTGCAGGTGTACGTCCTTCAGTTTTCCATTTTTAAAACACAAGCCAGTTAGGAACTACAGTTCCATATTCTCTTTGGTAACCTTGGCTTTCTTCCCCTCCTCTACTCTCCAGGAACAGTATGAGTTCTGCTACAAGGTGGTGCAGGAGTACATTGATGCATTCTCAGACTATGCCAACTTCAAGTAACAGGAGATGAGGCTCACGGACAGAATTGCCTTTAATATTTTGTAATATTCTGTTTTGTTAATATACCCAAAATTGTGTATATATCTTATAACTGTTTTAGAAATTGGTACATAGGCTTCTATTACCTATTAGGTGGAGATTTTATATGTAAATGTGTTAGCACTGATAGTCCTTTTTCCAATGTTTTATTGGGGAATTAAATAGTGTGATGTTTGGATTGATATCGTGAAATCCTCAGCCTGGAAATTGGGCTGGTTTATTACTCTGCATTAAAACATCTGTTCCTAAAGAAAATAAACACAAAACCCATTCCAGGTAGCTCGGCACCAACTAAGAAAACAAGCACAAAGTTCTCAGAGCTCTTGAGGAAATGGTCGTCCCGGTGCCCCAATGAAAACCTGTGTCCTCTCCTTCACTGTAAATTACCCCTCCTCTCTCCAGCCCACTCCTGCCATCTCCTACATCCCAGCAGCCCCCTGTGGGGAGTAATGGGACCAGAGCGGTATCTCTGGCACCACACTAGGGATTATCAGGTAATAAAAGCTTTGACTCCCTGCGGAAATGTCTCTCCCTTTGTCTGGGGTGGAGCAGCCAGAAGTTATGGCTGGGACGCTAGGCCCCTCTTGTCCCTGCTGTGCTGCTGTCAGTTGCTTCTGTTCCAGCTCTCAGCTCTGAACAGTACCTGGAACTCTGCCTTCTTTCCCACCCTGTCTTTGTTCCAGTGATCCCAGTGAGCTTTGGTCTCTTGGGGTTTCTCTGAGGGCAGGGGCCCAGGGGAGAGAGAAGCTTAGTCATGGAGCAGGAGCTAGTCTGACCTGTCCAGTCCCTGGTACTTTGCTCCAAAGCCATCTGGATTGTCATTTCATGTTTTGCTAAGAGGGACATGAAGGTAAATTCCAGAATCAGCGTGGGAGGGACATCAGACCTCCCTGAAAAGCTAAATATGTTTCTCAAAGAAAGGAACCAGAACTTTCCCTGGGAAACAAGTTATTCTGGTTTGGATTTCTCCAGAGGGCAAGAGGGCAGTACAAAACAAAGCCCTGTTCTTTCTAAATAAGTGTCAGGGACATTAACTGAAGCATTCTGTCATCCCAAAGCAGAACACAGCCAGAGGCTCAACTAGAGTTGTTTTCACTAAATAATAAAGCAAATGTTTTCCTAAAAATTACCTAGTTACCTAGGAGCTGATGGCACACACCTGTAATTCTGGCTCCTAAGAAGGTAAAGTTGGCTCAGTGGTAGAGTGCTTGCCTACCATGCATGAGGCCCTGGATTCAATTTCTCAGCACCACATAAAAAAGCTGGAACTGGGCACTGTGGCTCAAGTGGTGGGGTACTAGCCTTGAGCTGCAGAGCTGAGGGACAGCACCCAGGCCCAGAGTTCAGCCCCCACAACTGACCCAAAAAAAAAGAGATTTTGCTGGGTGCCAGTAGCTCACGAGCCTGTAATCCTAGCTACTCAGGAGGCTGAGATCTGAGGATCACGGTTCAAAGCCAGCCCGGGCAGGAAAGGCCGTGAAACTCTTATCTCCAATAAATCACCAGAAAACCAGAAGTGGCGCTGTAGCTCAAGTGGTGGTGTGCTCGCCTTGAGCTGAAGAGCTGAGGGACAGCGCTCAGGCCCAGAGTTCAAACCCCACAACTGACAAAAAAAAAAAAAAGGGTAAAGATTGGAAGCTGGGCGTCCGTGGCTCACACCTGTAATCCTAGCTACTCAAGAGGCTGAGATCTGAGGATCACAGTTCCAAGCCAGCCCAGGCAGAAAAGTCCATGAGACTCTTATCTCAATAAACCACTAGAAAACCAGAAGTGGTGCTGTGACTCAAGCGGTGGAGAGCTCGCCTTGAGCTGAAGAGCTAAGGGATAGTGCCCAAGCCCAGAGTTGAAGTCCCACGACCAACATTAAAAAAAGAAGGTAAAGATTGGGAAGACTGTTCAAGGAAACCCCAGCAAAAAGTCTTGAGAGGTTCCTTCAACCAATAGCAGAACATGGTGCCACAAGCCAGTCATTCCAGCCAAGAGGGAATTGTAAGTAGAAGGACCACAGTCCAGGCAGAATCATGAGGTTCTATTTGAAAAATAACTAGAAAGGCCAATGTATTAAAAGCCAGAAAGGAGATGTAGCTCAAGTGGTAGAACCTAGCTGAGCAAGCACAAGACCTTGAGTTCAATTCCCACTACCTCCAAAAAAAGTTGTATTAAAATCACCCAGTTATTAAAGTCTGTATATTTCCCAAAACAATGACATTGAATGTACTTTCCTCACAGACATTTCAAATCCCTGATAATTCAATTTGGAAAATCACAGCAGTGCCCATCCCACCCCTACCATGACTGTCACAAGATTTGATGCATCTGTTTGTCCAATGACTCTAGCCATCACAATGCCATGGCTGACCCTGCCCTTGTATTTGCTGGGCAATCCAAATGCGGAGATTGGCTATTAACCCTGTAAACAAGCCTCCAACCCCTGGATATTGATGCTGGCGATGGAAGCCAAGCTACTGACGCAGGCCAGGAGATTGAGAGCCCTTTCCTGCAGCCCATGCTGGTTCCGTCCATATCTATGACTGGGCCTCCGTTGAGCACAAGATGAGCAGTTAGAACCCTAGGGGACAAAATTACCCCCAAGGAGACTGCAGGTCTCTCAGCTACCTCTCCCCCACCCCATAGGCCCCCTTGGAAGAGAGGCCACCCTGGGTGGGTACTATCCCAACAGCCCACCTCCATGGGTAATGATCCCACCTCAAGGACAGGACAATTTTATAGGTGGTGGGAGCCCTTGAGAAAAGTAATTTTCCACAGACCTCTCTATAAGCAATTTGGTTCCCCAGTCTTAGACTCCTACTTTTCTACTGGGCAGACCCTTCAGTGGGATTCACTGCCCCTCTCTAGGCCTCAGATTTTCTTTGGTGTCAGGGAGGGCTTCGCAGGCCCCAAGGTCAGGAGCTTGAGGATGCATCCACAGAAGTGGTAAGATGAGACAAGGCCATGGACCATCCTGGAGCAGGAGTCCTATGACTTCAGCAAACCAAGACAGCATAAACGAGGTTAAAATAAAGGCGTTTTATTCAAGTGCCAAACAGATTTGCAAATGGGAAAGCACAAGTTCCGTTAAACTGAACCAGCATTCCCACCAAGGGAAGGCAGGCTTGAGTATTCAGAACAAGAAGCCATGACCCATGTGCAGCTTAGTCTTGGGGGAGGTAATTAGGATTGAGGCAAGTTTGGCACAAATCAGAGTGATCCTAAATTTTTTAAATCCTTTGCAGTATTCTACTCAGGAGACAATACTAGTTGCTACAGTGTTTCAAACATTGAAAAGTATTAGATTCCAGAAAATCGTTCTCTTGGATTCAGTTCCCAATGTATTATAGGTGTGACAGTTTTACTTGTCAGTAAAACTTTGTGTTCAGGGTCTTATGCTTTCTAGGCAAGTGATCTACTTGAACCATGCCTCTATTCTTTTTTCTTCTTTTTCAGATAGGGTCTTGTTTATTGCCTAGGACTGGCCTCAGACCTTGATCCTCTGACTTGCATTTCCTACACAGCTGAGTTTACAGGTGTGAACTTCTATGTCCAGCTATTTTGATGAGATAGGATACTGCAGATCACTTCTGGAATAGTTGGGATTATAAACATGAGCCACCACACATAACCATTTGCCTTCCTTTTTGACTACTACCATTTTGATTTTTGTTTTGACTTTGGTCATTGCGAAGATAGGGGATGGATGTGAGGATCTGTGTGGGGACCTTAGAGTCAGCAGCAGCTTGGTGTTTGCTCATGAAGTAGATGCTGTGGAACGGGAGGGTCAAGTTCCCTCCTTACCCCCCTGCTTTAAAGACGTCACTGAAGTCTAGGCCAGAGCAGGGGGTGGAGCCAACTGATCAATAAATCCTAGAGCTGTCTGGCTAGGATCCTGCAGCGCCTGAAGGAGTCACTTTATCCTCCTGGGTGAGTGAGGCTGTTCCCCCTAAGGCTGGGGCTTCTGAGTCTAACTCCATTCCTCCTTTCTTCTCTCCCAAGCCCTGCCACCCTTAAACCAAGCAGAGAAAGATCCCCCTTTCTCTGCTCCCCTTCCTCTGCCCTGTGTGCTTGCCACCCTGGCCTCAGAGGGGCAAGAGGTTGACACACTTTTCCCATTCCTCACCATGTTCTTTCCACATCCCCAACAATCATAGATGAGAGGGAGTTCTCAGAGAAAGGGCAGCATCTGCCATTCTGGTTTCCTAACACCAGCGGTCCGGATGTCTCCACTGCTGCCCTATTCCCATCCTTGGCTGGAAGTCTGTTCCCCTCTCCAACCTTCCATTTCTGGAACTTCCTGAAGGAAAAAGATGGGTCTGATCAATTGGGAAAGCCACCTTAGTTGGCAAAGTTGGGAAGCCTTTGTGCAGGGAGAAAGCTGATGCTCTAGAGCATCCTCCCCTGGCACAGGCCATGATCTTTCAGGATTTAGAGGCCTGGAGGCCTGAGATGAAGTGTAGAGTGGCAGAAAGGGAAGAGCCTGGGGAACATTAAAGGTGCTCTGAGGAGCCAGTTGGCCAGGCTGATCCTTGGAAGAAGGTGAAGAGGTTGTAAATGGGAATGTCAGGGTCCTTGAGTGCTGTCCACTGTCCTTGAGAGCAGCCCTACCATGGCCTGCTCGAAGCTATACCTCCTTCTGCTGCTGCTGCTGCTGCTGACTGGCCATCCTGGACCCTCAAGGGCTCAGCATTGGTCCCATGGCTGGTACCCCGGAGGAAAGCGAGCCCCCAGCTCATCCCAGGACCCCCGGAGTGACCTTGGGTCCTCAGGTGAGTGATAGGTCTCCCTCCCCTGGCTGGGAGGAAGAAGATTCTGGGCGTGGGGATGAAGGAACAGGCTGCAGCCTCTGTTCCCTTCCGAGAAAATGTTTTGGGTCCTGCAGCAGGTAGCCTACTCCAGAGTGCCCACAGCCTCCCAAGTGATGCTATGGAATCTTCTAAGGACCCTATGCCCTGGGAGGGCAGGCCCAGGGCCCAGTGGTCCCACAGGAAGCAGCACTTGGTGCAGACACTATTGGTAAGTGGGGTGAGACCTCAGCATTCAATTCCAGCCTCTGGTCACCAGCAGCCATCCTGACTGGGGGCTGGGGAGAGGAGAACCACCATTGGGATTCCCCTGGCCCCCACCCTCTGGGTTCTCTACTCATTAGTGGAGTAGGATGTAATGGTACTCCCTAAATAAAAGTGGCAGCTTTGAGCCCCTCCTGGGGCAAATATATGTCAAAGCAAAATAATCCAGTAGGAAGAGGGGAGTCGTGGCAGCGGCAATCAGAAAGCCCAGGTGGTGACTGACATGTGCACTCCAACAACTCAACTACTGCAATCCCTAAGACTATAGCAGAGGACATTTGTGGGGAAGTGGCTGATTACTAACCTGCAAATCCATCATTACTAAAGAAGAAAGTCTAGGGTCTGCAGAAGGTGGCTCAGTGGTAGAGCACTTGCCTTGTATGCATGAGGCCCTGGGGTTCGATTCCTCAGCACCACATAAGCAGAAAAAGCCGGAAGTGCTGTGGCTCAAGTGGTA